ATATATAACAATTACTAATTGTTACTGACAAATGATTAAATTTTTATTGGCTTTAATAGTTTTATTAATTTCTATAATATAATTATTAATAAAAATTTGAAATTAAAATTGTCACATAAAACGGAAAGAAAAATGAACGAGAAGTGATATGCATTGTTATTTTTGCTCTTTCGCTTACACTTAATAACCGATATGGGATGGATGATTATGATAACGAAGGAAGAAGAGCAGTCGTTCTATGTATGTCACTGGGAACCATTTGGGCAATTGCGCCCTTTGGATCAATTATGTTTTCACTAGTTACTTGATCTTATTATTCTTTCATTTTCCATAATCTGTGCAATAATTATATTTGTTTATTTACCTATTTTATATACCTTATTCACTTATATTTGCAAGGAAAAGGTTAAGCAACTTGAAATGTAAGGTCTGAGCCAAAGTTTTCATTGGAACTCATTCAGAGTGACATTCGTATCATTCGTCCGATTCGATTCGCTCTTAAAATTGAGTTCTCAGGAGGAAAGGCCTGGGAGAAAAGGCTGGAGAATTGGTGCATATGGATTTGTCGAAATATAATGTTTCGCTGTTGCTGTTGAATTAGCCGGAACTTGAATTAGATATGAGAGAAAAATATTTTGATAATGCCGAAGTATATATGTTGTCTGATTAGGCATAGATTATATTCAAGTGAGGACGACAATTCATTGACGTTGTTACATACGTGTGATGGGAGAAAGATATGTAGCAGAAGAGAGCAGTGATTATGTTAAATGAAGAGAGAGGAACGCTTTGGTCGAAATTCGATTCTATTCCAAATAAGTTATTGCAGTTTTTCATACGAAACACAGGTAAATCATTAAAATGAAATGTCTGTTGGCTAAACACTCATTTCAATTGGAGCACGCAGTTTAGATTACGTTATGCAATACATAGTTGTCTAATTCCACACAATTGTCGTTAAAGAAGAAGCTATAAAACATGAGCAATTTATTAAAAGTTTAAGCCGTTTCCAGATGGAGCTAAGTATGACAGTGATCAGTGCGTGAAAAGCAAGAACTTTATTGTTGTACCAAAAATTTGACCTTAAATCTAACAACACCAGTACTGTTCTTTTTTTTTTCATTCAGAAGTTGAAGACAAGGATATTGCTGAAATCGAGCAAACTGCGGATAATTCCAAATGTAATGGTTGGCAGAGACTGAAGAATATATATATTAATAAAGGTTGGTGATGGAGTATCTTTTGATTGGTAAATTTTGAAATTTATTATGTTTTTAATGTTATAGATATGTGTTTTGAGACAAGTATATTGATGCCATGTATGGAATGGACATTTATTGGTACAGTACTCTTCACTGGTCCTGTAGGATGGCAGAGAGCTGCTGACCGTTATAATCGTTATGCGAAGGGACGAGTATTTCTTAGTCCGCGTGATGCACTGGTTACTATTCATTTATTCACGGTGTTGTGTCGATTGTGAAATCAGTGGTACAAATAATTTTTACAGTGATTGCAACATGAAACATTCTCATCAGTGTTGCAAAGACATAACTTTCGTCAAGCGTCGTCCAGCCAGATTCGTCCAAATTAGCTGTTTTCTGAACGAGTAGTATTATGTTAATTAAAATTATCTCTCTTTTGTTTAAAATAATTTCCAGAGGCGTAAATGGGATTATGCGTTTGCATCATTTTTACGCACGGGAGCAATTAACGGTACTCTGGCAGCACTGTATGTTGGATGTGTGGTGTAAGTTTTTTTTTTTTCTTATATCAATAATCTAATATAAGCTTTCAAAGTTTATATGCCAGCATTTTTTTCTTGAGCTAGTAGGAGGAAATGGTAGCGGACTATGATTTTAAATGGTCTTGAAGAAGTAAGCAGCAAATCAACCCATTAAAAATGCTCAAACAGTTTTTTTTTTAATTTAGAAGTTCAAAAATCAAGACTGACATTTATACTTTATTTGTAGCTACTTTTAGAGCAGCAATCACACACGTTGCAGCATGGCGTGGCCATTTCTCGCTTTGGACCGTTCCCGTTATTACAAGTGAATGCTTATATCTTTTGCTTTGCAATTTTGAACTGAGGATCAGAAATATTGAATGAGAGAGTGGAATAGCCATGCTCTCTCTAATGTTATGCAGTAAACCCAACTCCGAAATTAGTTCATTAGATAGTTTTTTAAAGTTAAAATAGTTTTATTTTAGCCTCAATACCCTCTATAATTGCATGTCCACTTGGTTTGCGAAAAATGGTGCAAGCAGCAAGTCTTGGATTGACCTGCGGGTATTATTTTTATTACTCTTATATGTTTTTTTTGATTAATATTAGTAATATTATCGCATCGGCTTATAGCTTTAATTCTATAAGAGAAAGTACAAGATTCCACTCTTGTGCTATTCACATTTTTTGGTTTGGATTACATCAATTTTGTAATTTTTTCCACCTTTGATTTGGTATTTTATTTACAGGTTAACACTGTCGCTAATCGTGTTTAGCGTATCACACATTTCTAGTCAGACAATAGACGACACATATCAACAATTCAAACAAGAGCATGAGTTGGTATTCAGGGCTGAACGAATTAAAGAAGAAAATGCTAAACTATATCAAAAAGAGCACAAAATTTGGTCCAGAAGTTTGGCGAAACTTCTGATGGATAAGAATGAAAAGCTAGAGGATGAAATTTCTGAAAACTCTTCAAAATAAGAACCTTAGTCAACACTATTATCAGCAAACGATATGTGTCCACGTTGTGTGTGTGTGTGTGTGTGTGTGTGTTCGTTGAGACGTTTTCTCAAATATTTTTATGAATGCTTTTGTTCTTTCATATTTATGTTTATCAATATGTTAACATTGTAGCACTAACAAATATTTGTTAATTTGTTATATCAAATTGTTAATGTTACTGTCGGATGAGTTTGTTTGAGTGATGCTTTATTGTGCTCACTTTAATCTTCCCATCTGATTGTCTGTCTGTGCGTTGGTTTTATTCTATATATAAAATTTCCGTAGTTGCTACATAGGCGAAAGTTTTGCTAACGGTGATTTAAGACTGGAAAATAAGGCTTAATCTTCATTCTCTTATCCAATTTACGATAGATATATCAACCAAGTTTCCTTACTTCCTACTTTATATTATTGGAAGGGATGATAGATAAATGAACAGTAAACAAATGGTAATTACTACGTGGATTAGAGGAATTGAAAGAATAGTGTTGAAAGTGATATAATTGACCGATAGGCGCAAATGTCGAAGCAGATTGCAATGGGATGAATGATGCATACGACAATGTCTTTTCTTCCCTTATTATCATTTTCATCCATTCCGTAAGAAGTTTAAATGTGAGAGAAAGAGCGAAAACAGTGATATATGTGCTAATTTTTATTTGTTTATAAAACAAATCCAGTATTATTATTATTATTCATCACACTAATTACACCAGGAAATAATTCTGATTTCATTGATTTCGAATTTATTTCCTTCTTCAGGTGCAATTAGCTGCTGCTACCACTGATGGTGTAATTGTACCTAAATTCAATTAACGAATTCAATCATCTGATGAAATTCAATTAGCTCTCTAATTAATTGGTATTAAAATTAATTATATTGCATCTAAAATCAAAATCAGAATTCCAATGATGGAATGAATTTCAATTGATTATTACCCTCTCCC